TTGGGTCCTGCCCCCACCCAGCGACAGCCGGATAATATTTAAATTGTAGCTAAACATATACATGATATACAGCCCTGAATATTACAGTACCCCAATTATAGGCTGTCACTGGGTGGGGGCAGTACCTAACAATATTGAAGACTAGGGGGTGGGGCTTTTAATATTAGGGGATGGCATTTGTTGTGCATGTGGCTGGTTGTGTCAAAGGTCCTTGTAAAGAAGAGACAGTTGGGAGTGTGCTTCCTCAATTTGGGATACTGGGATCCGAACAAAACAGGAACCTACATGAGCCGATCTTATGGTCATCTGGGGAAGAGATATCGTGAACAATCACCATGTGTGTACTTGTGCTACATAGTCAAGTTGGTCAGGGTATCCTGTATTGCGACTCAAATGTGTCCGGCCCGACCTCTCTTCCGAGTCTGCATGCCAACTCAGAAAATCTAAGTCCTGAACCTATAGGATATAGGGTTTGAGATCTAGGGGGTTAACGTGTTGTCGTCTCCTGTCCGTAGAGCATGCTTCTTTTGATGAGGTGAATCCTCCACGATTGAACATACTTAGCTTAGGAAGCGCAGTATACTGGACTCAGGGCATTTTACATTCCCTCCCAGACACCCCAAAACCTTAAACCCTAAACAACCTAAACCCTAAGCACCCTAAGCCCTAAGCCCTAAACCCTAAACACCCCAAACCCTCAACCCTAAACCCTAAACACCCAGAACCCTAAGCCAACACCAAACCCCAAAGAAACCTCGTAGACGCCTTGGCCAGGTCGTCTTAGTTCGGCCAGATGGCAAGGACAGGTCTGAAAAGTTAACCCGTCTTAGGACTCATAATATGAGCCATGGGGGTATACATATATATATATGTATATATAGGGGATTCTAGGCTTTAGGGTTTAGGGGGATTATATGAGTCATGGGGATATATATATATAAGGGAATATATTGGGGGTATGTATAGGGGATTATAGGGGATTATAAAGGGTACATCATACCATAGTCACTGTTGTCCTTACTGAGTTCTTACTATGGGGACCACCAAAAAAAGGAATCAGACTGTATATAATAAAAAAAGACATCGGCGTAGGGTTTTTCGGGACTGCCATAGAGCTACTCAGGGATTCTGTGGATGATGACACCCTAGCCCTAAGGGTCCAGTAGACAAGAACCATATGAGCCACAGTCTCCACTCCTTCAAGGGAGGTCATATGTGAGTTTTTATACGGGAGTATTCTTGGGGTTATTGAGGGTGATACTAGAACTGTAGCCTATAGCTCACATACTTTGGAGTTCTCCTACTGGTAATCGTTATTTAGGTTGGGACTGTCAGCGCAAGGGTCCAATTACCGTTGAACTTTGGGTCCCACTTATCCTTCTCAGGGACTAGGACACTTAGGGGCGAAGGGTTTAGAGTTTGGGCTTTGTTTATTAAGGTTAGGGGCTCTGGAGAGAGGGGAGTTCGGTGCTGGGACAGGCACAGCGATGTATGCCACTCCTCCTACTCTACATCGAATACGTGATTCCCATCGTGGCCCATGAACGTCTACGCCCTTTTTCCCCTAAACGTGGTTTAGATTGAGGTTTAGCTAGACCCCAAACCCTTAAGGTTAAGGGTGTCGGGGCAATGCCAACTTTTCTTGAGGGCTCAGGGTGCTAGTGCACAACACGCATAGGTACGACTGCCTAGAATTTGGGTGTAGGGTTTATGTGGTATATCTAGCCCTTTGGAACTACTCCTTATACTGCCTTGCAGAACTCTACATATATATACTCTCGATGACGCCACTTCGGCAGGATTTATTTCTTTTAGATGCTCCAGTGGGCATTTTCAAGCAAGATTATGTCCTCCTCCTTTGGCGGTCTAGCATTTTACCAGAACAGTCTATTCTTACTTGTTTCAACCACCAAAAAACTGCTACCCACTTGTTGCCATACCTCGATCTGCTTAAACCCTAAACCAGAAAGCCTAAACCCTGAACCCTAAAACCCTAAAACCCTAACCCCTAAACCCTGTAAACCATCACACAGAGCCCAAGGCTTGGGCTTCTATACCCTTCACCTAAGCCCCAATCCCTGAAGATTTAGAGTTTTGGAGGGTTTGCCATAAAGTGGTTAAAGGTTAGGGCTTCAGGGGGATACAGAGCTTCAAGATGTAGGATTTGGGGTGTGGGTTTAGGGTTTGGGATTTATGTAGTGAAGGGGGAAAGAAAGAATCAGGTTCTGGGGTCGAGGGTTTGGGA